GGTAGAGAGGAGTGTGTTGTGTGGTAGAGAGGAGTGAGTGTGTGTGGAAAGAGTACTGTGTATAGAGTGTACTGTGTATAGAGTGTAGTGTATAGAGTGTAGTGTTTGTGTGTGTAGAGTAGTGCTGTGTGTTGGAGAGTAGTGTTGTGTGTTGTGTGTGGAGAGGAGTGCTGTGTGGAGAGGAGTGCTGTGTGCTGTGTGTGTGGAGAGTAGTGTTGTGTGTGTTTTGAGGCAGCCAATGTGAAGTTCTCTTTTGTCTTCTACAGGTGCCAATGACCCAAGGTTCTCAGGGACTGCCCCAGCAGCAGTCCTACCAACAGCCAATCATGCTGCCTACCCAGGCGGGTCAAGGATCACTCCCAGCCACTGGAATACCTGTTTACTGCAATGTCACCCCGCCGGCCCCACAGAACAACGTTAGGCTGATTGGGCCACACTGCCCTTCCAGCACTGTCCCCGTGATGTCAGCTAGCTGCAGGACAAACTGTGCAAGTATGAGCAACGCTGGGTGGCAGGTCAAATTCTGAGCCCAGGCCGAGTGCAGTTCTTCAGCTGTTACGCATGGCCTTGAGGGGATAAAGGGAAGAGGAGCAAGGTGGGAAGACTGGCTGAGGACTTAAGCATTCACTCATTGCTCAAACGTATGCTGCTGGTGTTCTGTACAAAGCAAAGACTAATATGCGTTAGCTGGTTAATGGTGCATATCTGTCATGTCTGCTAGGTATGCCTTTATAGCTTAGCTAGTGACATGAATTCATCAAGGTAAGATTTTCTCCTACCACTGAATACCACTGTGTAGACTATAATATCCCTTATTTGGATTATTTCAATTATTAGTTTTGTACTTTGTGTTGAGTTTGTGATGCTAAAAGTATTTAAAAATTATATACTGAAATCACCTGTACCAAAGCTGTAATGGAAAAGAAGAGCATTGATGAATGGAAGGAATAATTTATATACACTATAGAGTTTTCTTTTTTAATGGATATATACGGTATTGTAGTGTTTAATCACAATAAAATTATTTGACCTTATGGAGGAAGGTCATTTTTTACCACCAGTTTGGCTCACTCTCACTCCAGTGTTTCCTCTTTTGTCTCTCCCATTCGAGCACAACTTCCCAAGAGATTGTATTTGTATTCGTGCGTGCACAGACATGAGGTTGCCGGGGGTGGGTAAAACTTAGTCAACCCGGGCTATAGTACAGGGCCCCTGGACATCACATGTCAACTATTCACAGATGTACATCCGTACATCTAGCTTTTTGCTTTAGGGCCATTGAAAGCACGTCACTATATTTCCCCATCCCCATTTAGGAACACTGAAGTGTATCTGGTAACAACAGCCCAGGACCAAACCTTCACGTCACTACCACCACCGAGCTTTATTTCCAGTGAAATTAGATGCAGCATGGTCTGTATGACCCAACCCTATCATGTACACATGATCGCCAGTGCCGTACAAATGGACAGTGATTCAGAAACCCAAGGGTCTTGATGCTTGCCCTGATGAGTTTTAAGAAGTTAAAAGATAGCAAGAGAGCTTTGGTCGCAAAAGCCCAGCACATTGGCAAAAAACATTTAAAATTATTCTAATCCCCAAACATTTCATCTCCTATGGAATCTGCAGGTAAGATTGATTGATGACAACTTTTGAAAAAATAGTAATAGTACTCTGACCCTCTCGGCTTTGGCCCTTTTGGGAGATGTTGATAGGACAATAAAACCCTACAGCCTTCACTTTGCTATCACAAGCTGATGACTCATAGTTTTATATTTTATACTCCCTGGCTAAAAACCACTATTACCACTGAGAAGGCTATGGAAAATAGATCAGAGGAATTCCCCTTTTCACATGGTCACACTTTCCATCTTAATTTTTTCCATTTTCATACTGGGTAGCAGAAGACAGCATTCAATGACTAGCCTCAAACACCACGCAATAGGATGTCTTCCTTGTATACTACTGCTTGTTTTACCCCCTTTTTAAAAGGGAACTTTGACATGTTTTCTCAGTAGCTTCATTCCTTGTGAAGCCTATCCCTGGTGAAAGCTGTCCCATTTTTTCAACACTCATTCTACTGATTTCTTCGTCATCAGGAAGTCCTAACCATGAAGTATGTTATAAAAAAGGGATGCAACCTTTTTTATTGGGTCATTAAAGCAATACGCTGAATACCTCTTAAACCAGTAACTGCTCTGAGGAGCAGTGTGTTTGTCCAGTTAATTTCTTCCCCTAATAGGAGGAAGGGGACTTTCCACTATAGATTGATTCCAATATAGGTATTCCCTGCTTAGCCTTCTGGGTTTGGCAGAGATCCCCAAATCAAGATTTCAAAGAGTCTGAATGTTTATTTGTTCATAAAGCTCGGAGAAATTTTTCTATTTTCTTTAGTGGCGATTAGAAGAACTGATGCTTCTGAACAGTCGATTTGAACTGATGCTTCTGAACAGTCGATTTGAAACATACACACACTAATTAAAAAGACAGGCCTCCTTTCTCCCTGGCCACTTAGTGTAACACGCTCATTTTATTGCATAGATCCACCTGGATGCGATGTCAGGATGAAACTCCTCTCCTCCAGCATTATGTTCTTCTCCATCTTATGTTGTGCTTTTTTTTTCTTTTCTGTTAAAATTTTTGAAATGTTGATGAAGAGAGATTTTTATTAGTGAAGCGTTTTCAGACTTGATTTATTGTCAGGATAACTTATGTTGGTTACAATCTCATAGCAACCACCTTCTCCAGTTATTCAGTTCATATGCTTATAAAGAGATATCTATATGCATACCTTGAGAGAGATACAGCTGTCTTGAAGCTCCTCCACCTCTGTGGGAATGTAAGAGACAACAAAAGTGAGTTATGCATACATTTATTCAGCAAGCTTTTATTGCATACTTGATTATATCCTAATTATGTGGCACCATTCTAAATAAGAATACAAATAAATTTAAAGCACTTAGATTGAAACTTGCATCATACATTTGGTTAGTCTGTGATAGTTGGAACTAACTGTTCTTGAATGGATGAGTTTCAGTCATAATTATTTTATTGTTTTAATATAGTTCCACAGGATGTAGGGGGGAATAAGAGAGTGTGTTATACAACATTATGGAAATGGAATTATGTAACTAATTATAAGTACAGTTGGAGGATCTAGAGTGAAGTTATACATCATTAAAACAAAGTAAGTGGGGTAGAGTGTGCCAGAGATGCTTTATAAGAGGCATTTGAAGGACAAAGCACATTCATCAGGGGAACATTGGTTCTGCAGAAACAACTTCTGAGATGTAAAAAATGCTTACTTTGACTCTACCTCCACTTTGGCCCCAGCCAAAATATGCTAGAATGCAATCGAGTCCCGTCCTCCTGTTAACTGGATTCTGGACACACAGGTCCATACTGCAGAGGGAGGTACCCGTCCACCCTAACCCTGTGCCTAGCACTTTCCTTCATGGGCAGCCTGACAATTTCCACACTAAAAAGGAAGGGTTGCCCCCTACAGGGTCAAAGCAATTCTTAGATTTTGCCATCCAAGTAATAACTTTTCCATGAAAGACTCTCCTTGAGACATTTCCAAGGAAATGTCCCAAGGACAATTATAATTGGGAGACAAGGTTAATGGAAGGTTAAGCAATCTTTTGAAAAGCTATCTGATTTCTGGAAACTTTTAAACTGTCGTTCATATTATGCATTTCCAAAAGGAAAATATACTTGCAGAGTTTCTCACAGTGAAATATAATCAGAAGACTAGTACTCGGAGAGCAAATTTTGTTTTTAAATTTATTGGTCCTAAAATGAGATCAATATCAAAACACTGATTCCACTGGTCCATTATGTTGGCAACTGCCTTTGGTATGTACTATTTCCTCTGTGAATGGGGAAACCAGGAAGATAATGACTAAGGGCCAAAATTCAAAACTTCTGCATTTATAGTTTTGGTAATTCATGTCGATGGAGTTGATTCTATCTAACACTGTAGTAGCAGTTACATAGATCTGTAGAAATAGTTATTGCTAATGACAACTTATTCCTCTGTATGAGTTTGAAAGCGAATAGGAGTGATTTGTGCATTTGTATCTCTAACAAGCTTTCATGACACAGTCATTTTCAGCAATTGGACCACAGTCTATGGAATCCTTGCCGTTTAGAAGTTTGAGTTCTCAGAATATACCAGCCTATACATAAGTACAAAAAAAAAAATAGTCATGGGTCTTGTGAAAAATACACCTACAAATGGGATGTTAGAAGAGAAACAGGTGGACCCTTGTCCATCGTTTGATGAAGCTTCTACCGGGCCCCTTTGCAGAGACGGCATTTAGGCCTGCAAACAAGAGGGGAATGAATCACACTGCCAGCCAAGAGATAGGCCTGGAATGACATAAGAACCTAGGGACACATGAACTACCACTCAGGGTATGCACAGCAGTAAAGACACTGGAGAGGTGCTGGGAAGGTCGTGGTGGGCCTGGAAGGCATGATCTGCAGAGACTGTCAGGAGATAACAGGCAACCCAGAGAGCCAGAAGATTTGAATGAGAGGTGACGTGATCTCAGCTGTGGTTCATAAGGAAGTGTGAGTGTCCAAAGGATGGATTAGACTTGAAACATGCCCCTCAGAAACAGGAGATGAATACATTAGTGTTTAACTCTTGCTTACATGAGCAAGTGAACTCTTGCTACCATTAGTGTGGTTAAAAAAAGAAAGAAGTTCTAGCTCTTCATGCTTAACAGCAATCCCACCACCAGGCCACACATCTTTCCAAGTTCAGGTCTTATTTTTCTTCTGGGATGGTCCCTGTAAATACACAGGGTAAAACTAATGATGACTGAGCTACAATTGGAGGCCACAGGCTCAGTCTATAATATATTCTACACTGGCACACAAGATGCAGTAGAATCTGATAATCACTTCCTACTCACCCCTTTTGAACAGTGAAAACATTTATTCCAAATCTCTGTTTTGCTGTACCCTTATGTCTGCCATTTCTTTCACACAAACCAGAAATCTCTGCTGCTTGTGTTAGTCGCCTCAAAACTCTCCACTAATAGAATTGTTCTCCTTCAGACTTTGAACTTCTTTTTCAACAGTTTCAGCTTTATAGTTTGTTTCAAGTTCAATTCTTTATCACCTGCTTTCAGTGGGGTCATTCTAGCCTTCTCAACAAAAGCATTTGCTGCTATTATGTGTCATCAGTGGCCGGAGTCTCTGGCACCCGATGCTGGCTTCTCTGTTGTTCCTGGCATTGTGTACACAGTGGGGGTGAAAAGCACCTGAGACTCTTCTGTCGAGAAAATTCACTCCCTGATGAATCCCTATCAGAGAACTGATTCCTCTACTGAGCGCTACTTTCCCAATCACAAAAGTTTTTCTTCTCAGACCATGTCACTAGCCCCATGACTGCTAGAGCTCAGACAATGCTTTGAGTTTGTGTCCACTCTTTGATTAGTTTTGTTTTTCCGCTTTCTGCCACTTTACACTCAGAATTGGCATACAGGGAGAGGGAAGAGGTCTGATATCAAGCACACAGGAGGAAGCAGAAACCTGAGTAAGGGCGAGCCCCCAAGTGGGATATGATGATCGCTCAAGGCGCAACACAGCAGGCATTCAGAAGCACCTGTGTGTGGATCAAGCACCAGTACACAGTTTGGCTACACAGCCTTGTGCAAAGGCTACTTTTTGAACGCTCAAGGCCTCACTCTTAGAGGGACAGATATATACAGAGGGTCAGGGGAAAGTTTGCAAGGGATGAAGAGGGAGTGAGGCAGAGGTTAGAGGCCCTGGAACTCAAAGTAGGACCGCTTACTGTGAATCTTTCAATCCCGCTGCTGGCTGTAAGGATGGCACAAGATTGTGATGGTTACATGTGGGGGCAACTGGATCCTTGGTTCTGCCTCTCTTCCCTGACTTTTTTTTTTTTCCCCAGAAAGCTTGATTTCAGCTGTGTACAGTTTGCAGTTGTGTCTCCTAGCTGTGTACAGTTTGCAGTTGTGCAAATATCCCCCAGCTTTTGTGTAAAATTTATTTCTCAGCTAATTCAGGTTCCTAT